CTTTGGCTATGTCTTGGGCTACTCAAAATTTTTACGTTTTTGATACTAAATTAACTTCTGAAGTATAATTTTTTATTGTTTTTTATATTTTTCAATATATTTATTTTGTTTGTACAAAATAAAAAAATAATTTTTAACGATACAATAGTCTTTGTTAGGCTTAACATCGACGAAAATTCAACGCGAAGCGCCACACAACGGAGAAAATTTTCGACATTGGATACGTTAAACTATTTTTTCGTACGTAAATCAGTTATCCGAAATATTAGTTATCCGGACAACCCCAGTTCCCAATTGATTCGGAAAATCGACGCTCTATTGTACTTAGAAAATATCTCGGATTCGTTTGGGAAACCTCGATACGAGGTTTGGGACATTTATTTTAAGAAAATAATCTACAACAGGTTACATTCACTAATGAAATTTATTTAATCACAAGTAAAATATCAAATGCACGTAAATTCACACATTGTCCCTCAAAAATTACTGGCATTTTAAACTTTAAGGAAAAATCTTGTAAAATCAACAACATAATTTGTTAATATAAAGCTAGACAATTGGAAATCTTTTTTTCAATTCTTAAGTCAAGTCCACTCTCTGTCAATTACATTTATGAGTTTCTCCAAATTCTGATTTCATGCGGGAATGGATTAAAACTTATATTGGGTGATTTTGGAATTTCAATCTGGAATTCAATTCAAATGCTTTGCTTTTCCTATTGCTATTCATCTTTACTCCTGACAATATACAAGAACGATTCAAACAACCCAGGTAAAATACTTATGTTTTTAAATACAAGAGGGTAAGCAAAAATTGCAAATAATGGTTCACAAAAATGATTTGCAAAATCGCAAAGAATCTTTCACTTGCGTGTATAGGACGACCTAGGAATTTGAAGCTGTGATAAAAGAATAAAAACCTCGTCTTATATGCCAGTAAATACGGTAATACTATAAATTATCATTAGTATTATATTATTAATATTTACTATTTTTTACTATACGATAAGTGCTCATTGTTAATGAAAAAGTATTAAAAATTTATGATGATAATTCGATTTTTATGGGCCTTTAACATTTGGGGGTCCAGAGCTTAAGTCCTATCAGTCTCTATGTAGATCCGCCCGTCTGTGGTCCAAGATCAACATTGTTGACATCATGCTAATTGGCGTGTAGCATTAGTAAATATGCTCAGTAACTTGTGAACAGCCGCATAATCTCGGTAACCCATAACGTATAACATTCTATGCATGTTATTGGTGCTCACATTAGGCTCAATAGTCTAGCATAGTGTTTAAATGATTTACAGTAATTGATACAAAGTTGAATTACATTTGGAGCGCGTAATCATTGCAGAGCCTTCCTGTCATGTTCTGTTTACCAAGACATTTCTTGCTAGATTCAGCTCACATCCTCTTCCATATGTATACCATATCAATAATTGTCGAACTAAGTATAATGCTGCTGCAATATCATGTAAGAAACGATTACTTTTATGACATCCTATTATCAATCCCTCTGGAACTCCGTTAACTTTTGCCCAAGGCATCTTGCATTCCCAATCATGGTACTGTCCCATAGGAGCCATACAAGCGTAGTATCTATTAGTAGGATATACGAGTATGATGTACTTATATAAGATAGTTATGCAATATCAGTAGAAAATATCAATGGTATGATAGCAAATATAGTAATTAATTACAAACATGTACATTTTAAGAATATTTTCGTCGTCCCTTACAGAGGGTAAGTGATAGTAAGTTATCACTTTTGCTTAACAGTAAAAAATTTTCTTATCACCGAAGTACAAATTTAGCTTCTATACTCGTGGTATAAATCGGGAATTTGTTATAACTTATCTTTTATTTATGTTATACAATCCATTGTAGAATAGACCCGTTTAAATTAAACAAAATTTTTTCATGCACGATTTATCTTCACGATAAAAACATTAAAAAGTGATGAATTTTCTATACTGTATATACGCATGATACAGTACACTTAATAGTATAGTATATACATATAGCATATGTGGTATAATGGTATATATTAGTATATAATACAATAGTATAACAGCAGCTAAGCGCATAATAAATGTTGTAATTATTGATATATAATTTCCGCATATTATATAGAATTACATAAAGAAAAAAATGATTAATATCATGAAAATATGACAAAATGATTACGCACTAAAATTATAACATAATTTTTAATTTTCGAAATCGCTTTATAAATTTCTTTATTATTATTATTATTATTATTAATTTTTCGATACGTAAAATCGCGACCAGCAAATGAGATTTATTTCTACAGAATAAATAATTGGAAATCAGTTTAAATTAAAAAATTAAAAAATATATATAAAAAAAATAAATCATTAACAGTAGAAACATTATCTAGAACAGACAAACCTGTCTGAAAGAAGAGATGTATGAATGATATTCATTCTTTTCATTTTTAAATATAAATGTTAGTCGGGCAGCTTTGTTGTCATATGTTAACTATTATTTTAAGTTTACAATAGATGTTTATAAATAACCGCTGTACATGATAACATGAATGACAAAATGAGCTATCTAGCAAAATGCTGGAGATAAAGCTGGACATGACAAAATGGCGGCATTTGCTTGGTTGTTTGAGAAGAGACCATTGAAACGTCCCAGATTAGGACCTCCCGATGTTTATCCGCAAGATCCAAAACAAAAAGAGGTATTTCTAAGCCATCCTTCTTTACCATTTTGTAATTATAAATTGATATAATTTTATATACCTATTCAATAATAGATCTTTTATATGAGATATCAGTAATTTATTTATAAGGAATTTTCATATATGAAATCTAATCATATAAATAGTTTTCAATACTTAATTCACTTCAGAGAGATACATATTGTGTGTGTTATACATAATAGATTTAGTTATAAATATAATTAAAATATTTATTGTCAAACTAACATAAGTTTTAATATTGAATCTTCATTAAATTTTAACATTCATTTATACATTTTTTTAAAATTATCATCATTATATAACTGATTTAACATTATATAAATATTGGTATGATCTTGTCATATTACTGAAGAATTATTATTTTGGTATTCATTTCTTGTTTAATTTTATTTCAAATTCATTAGATAAACTATCTTGTTAATAATAAGTACAATTAGGTGTAATTTTCAATGACCAATTATAAATTTACATAAGTAGGTTTTACAATTTTTATATAATAAAAATAGATTTTGTTTCTCGTTATGCTTCTTTACATTTATAAATTCGAGTATTTATTGAAATGTTATGAATTCTGTTCAAATTTTTATTTTTGAAGCAATTTGTTGAGATTTCAGAAGTCTGCATTTTTTATTTTTTTTAATGAAGTAAAACATAAAATTTTTACTTTCAGTTTTTTTATTATTAAATTAATTTCCTATTAATATTCATAACTTTTATATGGGACAGTTTCATAAATGCAATATTTAAAATTTTAGAAGTTTTGATTTGATAAATGATTTAAAATTGCCTTAATGTTTTCAAAATTCTTTCTATTTAAATACATTTGGATAAATAAATAATTTGAAAGTGTAATTTTTGCATAATAGAACTGTTTTATAGCTTTCCAATTAAATTCCTTTCATTTTTGTTATATCATTTATTGCAACATGCAGCTCAGTATTATTCTGATTAAAGAATGACATATTTTCTATTTATTAAAGATAATTATTTTGATTCTGTTACCTGTTTTAAATTATTTTAGTTAATTCAGAGTAAATTAATTGTTTTATTGTTTCTTTTAGTGATTGTGTTAACATTTTCAGTATTAATTATATTTGTGTGCATTTTCACTTTGACCTGATTAATGTCTGTGGTATCTGTTTCATTTCTAACAGAATTTATACAACATTTAACAGAAATTTTGATAGAAACAGCTCAATCTATGGATAAGATTCTATTGGTATATTGTTTACTAATATTTTTAATATTTGTTGTGTTTAACAATAGATCTTCAAAATTATACTGTTGAACTGTGTAGTGGACTCTTACTAATCCAAATTAGTTATTATGCAAGACTGTTTACATTAGAATTATATATAAAGAGATCAAAAAAGACTATGGACACACACACACACATATATATATTTTAAAAGAATTTTATACTATATTTGTTATATATGTTAAAATATGTACTATATATTACTTTTATAAATTCTTCATGTTTTTTTAAATAATTTATTATTTCTTTTTGTCTTTTTCTCAAATATTAAGTTTGAAAATGAATAAAATTATGTTGTATTAAGTAGAGTTTAAATTAATGAGAGTACACTATTATCTGTAGTATTTTAATGAATTCAGTTATTGAAAGTATATTAGTAGAATCTTGTTCATAGATTTAACTGTTGAAAGAAGTTTACTTTGTGGGTTACATTTTTTATATGAATGAACAATAAACTTGAAAAATCAGTAATAAACTTAGCAGATAACAAAAACCTTAATATTTCAACAATGAAACTTTAATGACACAAATATTTTTAGTCTTATTGAAAAACCATTCTCAGATGCTCAAAACTACTTACAATATCATAAAAAAATAAATTGATATAAAAAATTTGGAATTTTGTAAATTTTTATATTAATGTTCAAAGAGGGTTGCAGAAGCTTTGAGAAAAAAGCCTTGAAAAATGATGTATTCAGAATTGGTTTCTCTGTCATGATAATGCTCTGTCACACAGAATATATTCAATTCTTTCTATTTTTCTGGGTTTTTTTTTCCAAAAATAACACTCCTGTATGTCCTCAGCCATTCTGTTCTCAAGATTTAGCTCTAAATGAGTAGTTTTTTCTTTTCCCAAAATTCTTAAAGGTAAAAGTTTTAATATGAGTGATATGATCAAAGAAAAACTGGAAGTTTCAAGAAGCTTGCAAAAGAATGATTTTTCTGTGTTTACAGAATGAGGAAAAAAGATGGAGGCATTATTGACAAGACTATGTCTTGTTTATAAAATCATACTGCCAGCTTATGCTACCAGCTTAGAGGTATGAAGGAGTACATGTCGAGAGTTGATATTTGGCAAGAATATTAGGTGCCCAAATCATTTGCGCATAAAAAAATCCAGACTTGTAGGTAGTCAGGGACTGAGAACTGAGTCTAAATAAAATACAAAATGGCAACCCTCTTCTACAAACAGGCAAAACAGGCACCTCATCTCACCGAAGTCAGGTGGGGGAGAGTACCACCCACAGTCATTCTAAGAAATGAACTCTGACCTTAGGACTGAACACGTAGGGCCGATTGCAGAGACAAAGTTTAGAGGCCGACGGCGGTTTACAGATCGGGTAGACTGCTGTTCAGAAAAATTTCATTGCAGAGACGGCGTTTCTCGCCTGCCACAATGTAGACAGCGATTAGAAACAAGTTATTTGACCTACTTTCTAGACTCACTGGACAGCAGGTTTAGAGGGCTTTTCAATTCGAGTGGTAGCTTTGTTCGTGGAAAAGTTTAGATAAAAACAGATATCGTTCCTTCGATAAATGTTGTAAACGGTACGAATCGACAAAATTATTCATTAATTAATTGCTCGGCGCAAAAACAACAAAATTAAATACTTTAAATTTGTTTTAAATGTTCCAATTTCGACATTCAAATGGGTGAAGACTTAAAACTTCAATTTAATTTAAATCAGATGCATTTATTTACAATTCGAGTATCGTGTCGGTTATAAAACGTTAATGCATTTCCGAGTCATTGTACTGTTAAACAAAAGAGACAATTTTAATAATTACAGAAATCTGTTTATAGATATTTAAAAAAATGCAATATTAATAATAAAATATTTAAAATTATTCATTTCGACAGTAATAAGATGTCGAAATAATTCCTTAAAAATCTATTCCGAAGACGAATTTCGAATTCGGTATAAATTTTCTAAATATGGATTTGTTCATATTTTAAATCGTATTGGCGACGAAATTAAATATCGAAATGGAAAAGGATTGTCATTAATTGCCGAACAATGATTTTGACGGCCTTAAGCTTTCGGAATATAGCTGACGACCATTTCTGACGTCACGAAGAAATAACCCGATTGGCCGAACGACTCCTAAAACAGGGGAGTAATAGCGAAGTAAGTAAGAGCCAATGTTTTGCCGAAGTTCGTTTAGAGAACGGTCAGAAATAGACGATCGTCGTCTTTGCAACGCATTTTAAACTGCGGTTCAGCCAGCCAACGGCTATAGGCCGTTCGTTGATAAACGTCGTTTAATGTAAACTCTGTCTCTGCAATCGGCCGATAGTTTCTTCTATGTTAAATAAAATTTGTAATCTAATTTTGTAAATTTGGGAGTGCTTCAAATATGACATTAAAACAGGGTCTCGTTACAAGTGGGTTTTTTTAACATTATTTAGTATAGTAAAATCGTGGAACTGATAAAAATTTGACGTTATATAGTAATTTGACGTTTCAGGGTTGTCGTTGGATTCAATGACATTATAATCAGGTTAAACTGTATATTGTTTGTGCAAAATAAAAAAATAATTTTGGACGATACAATAGCCACGATTATTTTTTCAAAAAACGGGAAATTTTCGTTACGCATTGACAAAAATTCAACCCGGGCCGACACGCAACAGAGAGAAATTTCGAAATTGGATAGGTTAATTTCATTGGAAATGCATCGTGGATGACTTCGTCGTCGTGGCCGGCAAAGTTTGAATGATCGCGCCCAAAAGCAGTGATACCAAAGAAGATTGGAGAATGAGAACGAGACCTGCCTGAGCATCAAAGTGATTCTGCTTAGTAGTGAGTCTTCGAGACATAGTCTTGTCCCAAATATGATTTTGCCATTTTACTTGTTTAGATTCTATTTAGAAAAGAATCAAAATGATTTGTTTTGTACACATTCTGGGAAGTTTTTGATCATACTTTGTAAATGAAAGTTATACTATGCAGTATTAAAATGTATTAATTTCATAATTGCTAAAAAGTTAAATTTTGACTTCTTTTGAGTATGTTCTGTCATAACTTTTGTTGTTTTAATGAAACTATTAGTTTCATATTCAAAATTGCATGTTACAAAAAAATAATAAAATACAGCTATTAATTTTAAAATCAAAAAGTTTTAACATGCTGTGTAGTGAGTTAGAAGATCAATTATTTCCCTCAATTACATTGTTCTTCACTAAAATTTGAGTTATTCTTCAGGTTGATCTTTTCTTCTAGGTGTTTTTAAATTATTAGCCTAAAAGTTAAACAAATTCTAGCAGTTTGCTTTATATTTCACTAAAACTGATGAAATGATATGAGCCAAAAATTAATAGTGGCTCTGTGTAGTAAGAGAGGTTGGCATTCTCTAATTTGGATATCATGTTTCATTGGATCTATCATTCCTTCTAAGTATTCATAAGCAGAAAAACCCCATATTAACTTTATTTCCATTGCAGTTTTCTCACAGTAATTAAAACTTATGTGTAAAATCTCTTCAAAAATCCATTGTATATTCAAATTTCATGAGCATTTATTAAATGATACTTGAACTTGTAAATTTTGTGAGAATTTATGTCATATGAAACATATTCTATGTGAATGTATAAATTTAAAAGAATTAAGTGTGAATAAGATAGAATTACAGTAGAGCGTCGTTTGTCCGAATCAATTGGGGACTGGGGTTGTTCGGATAACTTATTTTTCGGATAACCGATTATGTATGAAAAAATAGA